TGGGTCGGACCTTCCACTGACTGAGCCACCCAGGAGCCCCAAATTATCTGCTCCTATCTTTTAATGCAAGACAGATGAGGTCTGAATAAGAGACTAAATTTCCTAGAAAACAAACAGCAGAATTAGACAAAGTAAATAAATCCCATAAATTAAATGACAAGTATGATTTCATAAATAATAGGCTTTACAGTCTGTAAGTTTTGTTCTCCGAGTTATTTTTAGGGTTTCTGACATTACTAAGTTTTGATCAGGCTTATAATTAAAGTCTGTATTCTGATTATAAATCACTGGTATTTAGAATGTGATCCCAGTTAACTGTGAATCTAGGATATAGTCCCTAATGGCCATAACAGTGAACTATTTCTATAAATGAACATTACCTGGAGACAGAAACTCTCTTAAGAGAGATCTGAAAAAACCAATCAAGAAATATTTCAAGCTAAAAGTACAAGTATTGTTTAAGTTGTTCTAAATTCTATCTTGAAACTAAAATAAAAAAAACAAAAAATATATCAAACAAAAAAGGGGGGAGAGAAAATTATAGGAAAAAAAAATCTAAAACAAAAGGGAAAAAGCAGAAAGATCAAAATAAAAGGAAGAAAAGTAGAAACACTAAGGTGTATTCCATAAATTAGAAAACTGAATTTATTTCATTTTTTTTAATGTTTTATTTTTTTATTTTTTATTTATTTTTTTTTCAACGTTTTTATTTATTTTTGGGACAGAGAGAGACAGAGCATGAACGGGGGAGGGACAGAGAGAGAGGGAGACACAGAATCGGAAACAGGCTCCAGGCTCCAAGCCACCAGCCCAGAGCCCGACGCGGGGCTCGAACTCACGGACCGTGAGATCGTGACCTGGCTGAAGTCGGACGCTTAACCGACTGCGCCACCCACGCGCCCCATAATGTTTTATTTTTTTGAGACAGAGAGAGACAGAGCATGAGTGGGGGAGGGTCAGAGAAAGAGGGAGACACAGAATCTGAAGCAGGTTCCAGGCTCCGAGCTGTCAGCACAGAGCCCGACACGGGGCTCGAACTCATGGACCGTGAGATCATGACCTGAGCCGAAGTCGGGCGCCTAACCGACTGAGCCACCCAGGCGCCCCTAGAAAACTGAATTTAAAAAGAACATTAACATTTGGCACCTGGGTGGCTCAGTCGGTTAAACGTCCAACTCTGGGATTTTGGCTCAGGTAATGATCTCAAGGTTTGTGAGATCAAGCCACACGTAGGGCTCTGCGTGGACAGTGCAGAGCCTGCTTGGGATTCTCTCTCTGCCCCCCCCACCTCTTACGTGCACTCCTATGTGCTCTCTCTCTCAAAATAAATAATAAACATTTAAAATAAATAAATAAAAGGAACATTAACAGAGGTAACAAACAGAAAGTGCAGTTAATGGGAGGAAGATGGAGAAACTGAGAACAAAGGTCAACGGAACAAACAGAAGGAAAGTGAATAGTCAAATATCATTGGATATTACAATATAGTGTTACAGCTCACTTTTACCTAAGCTGTTATTCAGCCTTCTCAACAAAGCAGGACATAGCTGAGACTTGGAAAACCAAGGAGAAAAGGATTCTCACAGCAGACAAACTGCCAATCACACTACAAAAGCTCCAGTACTTCTCTCATAATACAGGAGTCATCACTTACATTCATACCTTAAATAGAATGCTCAGAAGTTTGCTTATGTTTTCTCCATATTAAAAGTAAATCAGAAGCAGGGCACCTGGGTGGCTCAGTTGGTTAAGCTTCCAACTTCAGCTCAGGTCATGATCTCACAGTTTGTGAGTTTGAGCCCGACATTGGGCTCTGTGCTGCCAGCTCAGAGCCTGGAGCTGGCTTGGGATTCTGTGTCTCCCTCTTTCTCTGCCTCTTCCCTACTCACACTCTGTCTCTCCCAAAAATAAATAAACATTAAAAAAAATTTTTTTTAAGTAAATCGGAAGCAAAGAAAGATTTCTAGAGACTGGTACTCTGATAATCCTATCATGTTTACCAGTGATAAAAGGGACACACACACACACACCACCACCACCACCAACAACAACAACAACAAAAAGCTCAAGAACTTGAGAAAGCAAAGTTGTCTGAAAACATCAGAAGGGATAAACAACCCAGAGCCTCACAATTAGCCCCAAATGCATCAGACGACGACATCTCCAAGTTATGAAAAATATGTAAATTATAACCAGTGAGCTCTGTTTAAAACAAGAGTGACAGACCACATAAATGTGGTTTCCACTCTGAATGATTAAAATTAAGAAGTGGAGATAGACTTCAATACCTGAAATGTTTTACTTATGTTAAACATCTCATTTTCAAGAGAAGATAATTATAGTACAATAAAAATAATGAAACAGAACTACAGATGGTAAAGAAACTATAATTTTGAACATGAAGATAAGGAAACCATATTTTAGACCTATCTGCATAACACAAATATGGTAATTAGTGACCTAGCATGGGCTGGTATCTCATCAATCCATATCTGATGTGCAATGATCTGGCATTCTGAATACAGTGACAAGTCACATTGGCCTGAGCATGTGTACTTTTGTGCCGTGTAAATAATGATCATTTGTGTTCCTCTAAGAAATCTGAAAGCCACCTAAAAACAAATGAAAAACCTGCCATTACCTGGATCCCTTCCACATTTCACATCATACTAAAATTTGCACTTTTTCACTAGCAGTAACAACAGGGAATTGCAGTTATTTTAGTACTCCAGCAACAAATGATATTTGGCAAAGTTTTGGCATTTACTATGTGCCACATTCCAGTTCTATGTAAATATAGCTGACTTAACCACAGAAACTGAAAGACTCCAGAGTCATCTACAATCTGCAGTTATATCATGTATTTTCTATTTTCAGCCACTTTCTCCAGTACTAATAAAGACGGCAATGTATATTCTTTACCTGGTATCATCGTCATTAAAAAAGACATAAAATTCCTCGGGCTCCTGGGTGGCTCAATCAGGTGAGCGTCTGACTCTTGATTTTGGCTCAGGTCATGATCTCACAGTTTGTGAGTTCCAGCCCCAAGTTGGGCTCCGTGCTGACAGCATGGAGCCTGCTTGGGATCCTCTCTCTCCCTCCCACTCTGCCCCTCCCTTGCTCATGCTGTCTCTCTCTCTCAAAATATATACATAAACTTTAAAAAATAAGAGAAAGATAAAATTCCAACTTTCTTTTCCTTTATGTTTGAATGAAATATAATCTCATCTGTATTGTATTATCTGTCTCAGAAAAACACCATGCTAGAATTAAAAAATATGAAGAAATTTCAGCCCCAAATAGTAATATTTTGAGATACCATGTGAAAAATACACAGAAGAGTATTTAATGAAACTAGAAGAAGTTTTACTACTGAAATTTTGGTTTACATTGCCGCTGATTTCGAAATGAAGATAAACCACGTTAACAGCTGACCAAACATACTATGTAAGACCTTTCTTTAGAATATTGATATCTGTATCTAGTGAGCCATCCAGGTTTCCAACTTTCAATGCCATGGTAACATGTAAGAAAAAGCACAGAAGACAAAGGTACCTATCAAGTCACCTTGCCCAAAAGCTTGTGTTTAAATCCAACCAAGCATAGGGGCGCCTGGGTGGCTCAGTCGGTTAAGTGTCCGACTTCAGCTCAGGTCACGATCTCGCAGTCCGTGAGTTCGAGCCCCGTGTCAGGCTCTGGGCTGATGGCTCAGAGCCTGGAGCCTGCTTCCGATTCTGTGTCTCCCTCTCTCTCTGCCCCTCCCCAGTTCATGCTCTGTCTCTCTCTGTCCCCAAAATAAATAAACGTTAAAAAAAAAAATTAAAAAAAAAAAATAAATCCAACCAAGCATTTATAGCTTTTAATTAAAACAAAAAATGTAGGACGCAAAGGAACATCACAGGGATGCAATCATCAAAATCCAGTCCATGAGAAATGCTACTGAACAAATGACCCAGTTTCTCCAACAAAGCAATTCACAGGGTATCTCAACACTTCATTAAAACCCACAGCTTCAATCTCACCTCCCTGAAACCTGCCAGAGCTCCTTACGTGTAGTATGGCACTTTGCTCCTTGTACTGCATCGTATGTGCATCGCCCATCACAGCATCAGTATATGGAGGACAACAAAATAGCTTAGAGCAGGGCTAGAAGCTCAGCAGCCTGAGTTGAAATCCCAGCTTTACCCCCTTAGTTAACTTGTCTGTAAAATGGAGAAAATACCACCTGCTGCTCAAAGAAATTTTAAACATTCAGTGAGAAAATATATGCAAAGCACTTAGCACGATGTTTCGCATATCTCAGGCAGTTAGTAACTATCTAATGAATGAATAAGTGAAAACCATAAGCAGCAAAATTAAATTACTGTGAATGTCACTTCCTTTGATGTCACTTAATCCTACAGTATACTTAGGGAACAGTAAAATGACAAAATGGCCAACAGTAAGAAAAGACTTAGCAACAATAAAAAAAAAAAAAAAAGACTATAAATTTCTAAATAACTGAGCTGCACTCTAAGGTACTAAGGAAAAGCTTAATCATAGCAAATACCCTCTGATGAAGAATAAGCTTATTTTTTAAAGGGCTAATCTTAACCAAACCTGGTAAAAATAATCAAATTTCTTTTCTAACTAAAAGCAATCAGCATAATCATCTGCAAGCAAAATTTTTAATAATATAGGAAACATTTTTAAAAGACTTTTTTAAGGTCCATGTTCCTGTTCTGAATCTCTTCAGTTTTGTTACTTTATTCTAAAAAAAAAACAAAAAACAAAAAACAAAAAACTAAACAAATTAATTCAACCAATTTGTCCATTTCAACAGTAGGTGGCATAACTGACATATTCTGAGCCAGTTCCCAGTTGTTACAAAGGGAATGATGTAGTAAAAACACAAAAAAGTTCATTACAGTATCATCCAAAATTCTGACAACATTCATTTAAAACTGTTTAAAGGTCCTAATTGGAAAATAAAATCTTTCAAATAATATGAAAGTACTTACATCTCAATTTGTCCAGCATTTTTCCACCACACATCGTTGCTAACATAGCTTTAACTGAAAATACGGTCAACTTGCCTCGGCCCTCACTGCAAAATAAATTATATTAGAACAATTGCTATCTGGACCACAAAAGCATTAATCAAATGTATCACTAAATATCAAGCAACCAGTACATTCACCCCTACCATTATATTCTACAATTATTACCTTGAATTTTTAGAAACCTTGGATTGTTTTTCCTTTGTAGAATTAAGGCCTCATGCATGTTAGGTAAAGAGTGCTAAAAGTAACCTGAATTATTTGGAAATGAGCTTTATAAACATTCTGTAAAGAATTTTCTACTGGCTATGTAGACAGAGGCCAAATGGATGAACCAGAAATAAATTTCCTATCAATTTAGCCCATTGAATTCACATTTGAGTTGTTTTTAGTATTCAAAACTGAGGCACCACCTGGTTTGAATAATTCAGAAATGTGTCCCTTCTAGCATGATAACAACAGTTTATTGTTATATAGTAAACCCACAGGGTGCACACTGCTATAAAGGTTTTATAGTACATTCATCTTTGTTCTTACTATGACATCCTTACGTTACAATGTGTTTATTCTAAGAAGCTTGATCGTATCTGTCTCAGATCTTCCCATACCACTGCTGTGAGAAAACTGAAGGGGAAGGGATAGTAATATTAATTCTTTTTTAGTAACTGGAGATGAAATGTCAAACATACATGAATTATCTAAAATAATGCCACACACCACCTGCAGAGACAAGACAGTGTCTGCAAGCCCCTCTGACCCAACCTGGCCACTGCTCCCTCCATCCAACTATTCCCTGGTTTCACAGCAGATGAAAACCTCACTAGCAGGTTTTTAAAGTCATCACTTGTAAACTAACAATGGGCTTTTGTGTTCATTTTATAAAGCTTGCGCTTACAAAGTTTCACAGTAAGAGTAAAATACCTCTAAATACCTCTGCAGTGATGAGAACTATATCACCTTGGTTTTGAAAAGCAAGTGCTTATGGTCCTAACAGGGTGACTTCCATTTTCCAAAACTTTTATACAGTAAGATCGCACTTGAAAAAAAGGCAAAGGGTTTATAAGCCAGAAAGTTCTCAGTGAAAAGATCTCCAGGAAATACTAATGCTTGTTACAGTATGACTTTCGACTATTACATCTCTTTAAGTTTATTCATAAGATAAAGCCAGAATCCCTGTAATTAGCTAAAATTAGGATGGGGTTTTTATTATTTTTAAGTTGTTTTACTTATTGAGAGAGAGAGAGAGAGAGAGAAAATGAATAAGCGGGGGAGGGGCAGAGAGAGGGAGAGAGAGAATCCTAAGCAGGCTCCACACTGTCAGCACACGGAGCCCAATGCAGGGCTCGATCTCACTAACCATGAGATCACAACCTGAGCCAAAACCAAGAGTTCGACACTTAACTGACTGAGCCACCCAGGCTTCCCTGGGATGGGGTTTTTAAAATAAAAGTTCTCCAGAAATACAGGCACCGCTCCACATCTTATATGGCACCTGGCAATATAAGGAATATGCCTGTGTCAAACACCCCCTGCACTGTACAAACAACACGAGTAGCTACAAAGAACATCAGCTACTAAGAGGAATGGATTTCTAAAACCAATACAGAACTTCTACAGTGGACATTTCTTTTTGGTCACCAACCATCTAAATGCCAAGTCTACCTTTAAGCATGCCTTATATTACGAGACAAATACGTGTCCTACGACCCAAGTGTGAAGAAAGAAACAAAGAAAACCTCACCCACTTGCTTTCCCATCTTTCTTCAAAACTGAGACACAGCCACATGCCACAAGCTCTGCCAGTAAGACGCACCCGCTCTAGACCAAATAGAAAACCATTAGCTTGTAGAAGGAGGAACTCCAAAGATCCCACCAGCAAGCATGGCTGCACTAGCAGTTACCTCCAGCTCCCTGAGCGGGCAGAGACACAGACACTTGTGGCAGGCCCACGGCCCAGCGTCAGTGGTATGTGGGGTTCAAGCAACGATATCAGTGCCCCAGAGAGGTGGCAGTGGTGTCTTCATTAGAGCGTTTTTGTGACAATTTTGAGATCTGTTCTTGGTGGTGTGGTCATCAGGCCCACTTTCCCAGCCTTCTTAGAGAGTCTGTGGGTCACACATGCCCTTTTAATAAATTAGCCAGAGACAGTTTCTTTTTTTTTTAAAGTTTACTCATTGAGAGACAGACAGACAGACAGACAGACGGCGAGTGGAGGACGGGCAGAGAGAGAAAGGGACAGAGGATCCGAAGAGGGCTCCATGCTGACAGCAGAGAGCACAATGCAGGGCTTGAACTGACGAACCGTGAGATCATGACCTGAACTGAAGTCAGACGCTCAACCAACTGAGCCACCCAGATGCCCCCAGAGATGGTTTCTATTGCTTACAACTAAGAACTCCACTGGATGCAGTCTGTATCCTGAAGTGAAGTGGCCCAGAAAGATGAAGCAACAAAAGAAACCATTCCTGAAGTCCAGAGTGGGAGCAGGCATGCCTGATGGCCAGCGAGCAAGAATGAAGCGGCAGGGCTCATCAACAGTAGACGGAGCCTCGCTACACAGCTAATGACATTTTTTAAGGTAAACTTGCTCAAACCGTTGTTTGCAGATACAGATTTCATGAAGTGAGAGTATCCAGGGGAAAGTAAGAATTAATCTTAGAAGAGATTTCCATAAAAATCAGGATACTGATTACCTGTGGGAGAAGGGAAGGGTAGACACAAAAGGACCACACGAAAGGCTTTCCAGGTGCTGACAGTCCTTGACTCCTTGGCCTCCATAGTACCTACATGGGACATCTGCTTTACAATGATTCATTACACTGTACTCTGTTTTAGGTATCCTTCTGCAGGCATTTTCTAATTCTCAGTATAAACTGTTTAAAATAAATGAATCCTGGGAAAGCGACAGTTACCATTACTGGACAAGGCTAATGGTTTAAGGCAGAAAATGATGAAGGGAAACCTAGAAGTTAAAAGACACTTAAAATATATAAACTGTATGCATAAAATTTTTCATAATGAAATGCATAAAAAGAATAAAAATGTTAAAAATACCAAGACCCAGGCCCTATTCTTAATTTTTAAGTTTATTTATTTCTGAGACAGAGAGAGACAGAGCGTGAGCAGGGGAGGGGCAGAGAGAGAGGGAGACACAGAGTCCAAAGCAGGCTCCAGGCTCTGAGCTGTCAGCACAGAGCCCGACACGGGGCTCAAATCCACAAACCGCGAGACCATGACCTGAGCCAAAGTCGGTTGCTCAACCGACTGAGCCACCCAGGCCCTATTCTTAAATGCCCATTAATAAAAGACTGGCTATTTATGCTATCATAAAAAATAGTAAAAAAGAATATGTGAAAGATAAAGAGTTATATCCAGGATAGATTACTAAGTTAAAAAAAAAAAAAAAAAAGCAAAGCATGGAAGAAAATAATTGCTAGAATGCTATGTAGCATTCTGTGAAAGGATATTGAAAAAATAACAATGGTTGCATCCAGGGTGGAAAGGCAGCCAAAGGAAAGCATGAGTGTACGGGCACTTTTCACTTTGTAAGTATTAAACATGCTTATATTAGAAAAGACAGTTCTCAAGTCAATAATCTTAAGACACTAGAAAAAGAACAGCAAATTAAACCCAAAACAAGCAAAAGAAAAAAAATATGCATAAGAGCAGGAATCAGTGAAATTAAAAAACAGAAAAATAGAGAAAAATGAATAAAACCAAAAGCTGGTTCTTTGAATAAATCAGTAATATTGACAAACCTCCAGCCAGTCTAAGAAAAAAAGAAAGATATTGGTAATACCAATATCAAGAATGAAAGAAGGGTTATCAACTAAGGCTTCTATAAACATGATAGAAATAAGAAAATATAAAGACATTGTGTCCATAAATTCAACAACTTAAATGAACCAGACACAAACCACTCCTCGAAGAACACCAAGTATTAAAGCTCATGCTGAGGAAACAGATAACCTCAATAGGCCCGTATCTATCACAGAAACTAAATCTGTATTTTTAAGCTTTCCAAATAAGAAAGCTCCTCATGCAGAGAGCTATACTGGTGAATTCTAAACATTTAAAGAAGAAATAATTGCATTTCTAAGCTCTTTGAGGGAACAAAAAAGGAGTAAACGTTTCCCAATTCTTTTATGAGACCAGTACTATTTTGATACCAAAAACACAATAATCTATTACAACAAAAGAAAAAAAAATCAGTATCCCTCATGAATGTGGACACAAAAATCCAGATGCCAAAACCCTACCCTGTTCTTGATATTTTTAAAAAGTTTTTCATGTTATTTTAATATGCATCCTGAGCTGAAAACTACTAACACAGAACTTTGAAGGCAATACTAAGACTTCAGCTTTTATTTTGCAGGTAATGATAAAATCAAAGGACATAATGAAAGATTAAAGAGAATTAATCATATTGTGATTGTATAACTCTTTCTGGCTCCAAATCTCATGTTCTTCCTTCAAAGAGAAAAAAGGATATCTATTCCTGATGCAAAGAAGAAACTGATGCCATTTATGCGAACAGAAGAGTGCAGCAGAGCCCGGCATGCTGACAAGAGAGCCAGGTCAAACTCAACTCTGTTACTCAAGAAAGATTTAACGTACAGTACCCATCAATAAATGCCATATGGCAGGTCTTAATGGGTACTATGACACCTTTACTTCTAAATATTATCATAAGAGCACTTAACACTTTTTTCTTAAAAACCTTCAGAATGCTTTAGAAGCTAATATTTAAAATACTAATATTTAAAATACTTCGTATCCCTTATTCAAATATTCTTTACTCAGCTTTAATGCAGATATTAGTTCCAAATTCAGAAAGTCTTATATTCAAATACAGGATAACAACATCCTTCTCAACTAACTTAGATCAGCACTTGTATCCTTTTCCACTCGTTATTTTTTATACTTTTTTTTATGTTTATTTATTTTTGAGAGAGGGAGAGACACAGCGTGAGCAGGGGAGAGGCAGAGAGAGAGGGAGACACAGAATCCAAAGCAGGCTCCAGGCTCTGAGCTGTCAGCGCAGAGC